AAAAAAAAAAAAAAAAAACTGATTTTCTGATTTATAATCCTTCTAATGCGTGATTATATATAATTTTCGTTTTCTTACTGAAATGTTATTTCAATTATTGTTCTGACTCTTCTTTCTTCCAAGTCTTCATTTCTTCTTTATTCTTCAGAATACTCATTGTGGGCAACAAGAGATCAAAACTAGAACAGGGTTTAGGATACTATAATCGCACAAGAGAAACAAGAATTTTTCCTTCCCAATCTAGAAAATAAAATAAATTTTGTAATGGGGCAAACTGGGAAAAAGAAACCTGTTGACACGTTAACAACTGGGAATTTATAACTAACCACTTCATATGATTTTCCTGTCAACATAAAGCAATGCTAAATCAGTGCAGAAGTAGCTAACTTTTATTGCATATAGCCAATATGCCAGCGGTTGATTCAAATTACCAGAAGATCCTTCAAAATTGCCCAAATGCCCATCATGGTGAAGCTTCAATGACACTTCTTGCCCGTCAAAATCAGAAGCCTGCATTACATAGCACGACAATGTAATTAAGAAAATCAACAATAATGAAGTCACATAAACAACAAAATCTTCTGTTCAGCATACATGTTTCAAGAAGCAAGATGAGTTTCTTATGGAAAGAATGTCAAATACATACAAAAATCAGTTTTTCCACCATTATAGGGAGTAAATTGAAAAAGATAACATAAAGGAAAACTTCTTAATATGTTTGGTTTCGGAAGACATATAAAACTGGAAGACTGACTGAAAAAATTTAAGAATTAGGACATTAGTTTTTGATATTCAACTATATTTTAAAGTTTGGGGGTTCAACTACTACTTCAGTTGGAAATAAAACAGTAGCCAATAGACACCGATTAATATTTTTTTATCCATATCCATGTATAAAGCTACAAATTACACCGGGAATAGATTAATAAAATAATATTTGTAGCTTCAGTCCGAAACTTTTTTACTTTTTGCAAATTATACCCAAAATTTTAATATATGCCACCGAAAATTCAAAACCTTTAAAACTTTATTTTCCATCCCACCCATCCCACTTCATCTTTCCAAGCCCAACCCGAATTCCCCCTCCCCAACCTAAACCACCCATCGCTATCACTGCCATTGCTACCACCACCACCACCTCTCCTTTTACCCTCCAGTTACCAAACATCATGAATCACTGTCTTCCTCAAATTCCTAACACCAAATCTACATCTCTAACAAAACCCAGCTTAAAAAGAAAAGCCATTAGGCTCTAATTCATCTTCAACCTCTCATTTTCATCTTTCTTAACCAACTCCACAACTTCACTTTTCAAAAGCCTTATTCAATTTCATCAACCTGGATTTTAACGTACTTGATTTTCTTCACCCTTTTTTCTCATCAAAAGCCCTTGAAAAAATACGAATCTTCAAAACAGAAGCGCAGCAGGTCGACTCCTATTCGAGAAAGTGTACCAAGTTAGGAGAGGAGATTTTAATAGGTGACGTTTAATTGGATGCGCAGGCTATTGACGCTCCATTTTGTGTATATACCATATATGTATAAGCATGTTTTATTTTTTCCAATCTTCGATTTCGGTTGAAAAAATCATTTCATAATCTGTATAAAATAAAAAGTAAATCATTGATTAAACGTAGATTAACCAATTTTCAACACCAACAAAACAATAATTCCAAATTTTAAATAACAAATCACAAAGCATTGTTACAAATCACAAATTACAATTTTCATAAATCATCATTCAACACAATTCATAAATCAAAATACCAAATCACCAATCAAATCATCAATGTATATAAAATATCACTTCACATTCTAAAAGAAAATGGCATAAAAATGGATTAAAAAACAAAAACAAAATGAAAAAAGAGAGAGAACAAAGGACTCATTGTCAGAGTCATGAATAAAATAGAAATTTGGGGATTTAATTTTCAATTATGGGAAGATCATGAGTAAATGTTATATAAAACAGAAAATGAAGGACTTACCTTGTAAATTTGGAGCTAGTGCTCCATTAACTAATATCCGGTTGACCAATTTCTTATTTCATGGAATAGAAAGTTGAGCGAGAGCAGAAGCAGAAAACAGGAAAGAGAGGAAGGAAAGGAAAAGAAAAGAGAAGAAGAAAGAAGAGGAAAATGGGAAAATGAGGTAAGTTCGGCAGTTAAAGCTTGAGTTTCGTTCTTCCATCTCTCTATTTTCTTCAAGAGGTAAAGAATAAAATTTTAAGGAATGATTATGCAGATGTAACGACCCGGGTCCCACTTAACGGGCTGTCCCGGCCGTTAGATCGACGACGTACTGTCCTCACTGTACCAACATGGGTCTTTTCAGCATGCTTTGTCCTCATTCGCCCACTCCCCGCGAAAACTTCTCAAGGGGTCACCCATCATAGAATTGCT